CGAAGATGGAGGAGCGCGGCTGGTGGATGGTGGAGATGACAGTGCGGCCGCTCTTGGAGAGATCCGAGAGCGCACTCATCACGTTCAGCGCCTGAAAGCTGTCCAGACCGGATGTGGGCTCGTCTGGCGAGAGGGGGGAGGACAGGGGAGGGGGGAGGAAAAGGGGCAGTGGGGAGAGAGGGGGAGGGGGAGGGAGAGTGGGTAGCGGAAAGGGGAGGGGAAGGAAGAGGAGGGAGAGAGGGTCAAAGAGTGGATTTTGTTGACGACATGAAGTGTCTGCCAGTGCACGGAAGGGAAATGTAACGGGTGGAATATGTGCAAGTGAAACACGTTACAGTGTTCCATGTACCAGTGGTACATGAAACCAAGAAGCATGTATGTAACCACTAGTAAAACTGCGTAACATTGTAACAAAGGCAACAGAGGTCGCATTAGAAGCGAACGGAGCTGAACCTAGTCCTTAACACATGCACAATCAAGGCGCCTCAAAAGATGCTCGTGGCGCATGGTGACGCAACACACACACCACAAGGAGAATCAGAGCAGCAAAACACCCCAATAAACACCAGAGCACCCAAACTTACCGAGAAACACGAGCGAGGGGTTCGAAAGCATCTCCACGGCAATGTTCGTCCGCTTCCGCTCCCCGCCGCTCACCCCCCGAATCATCTCATTCCCAATGGGAGTATTCCGCGCCTTGCTAAGCCCCAGCTCCGCAATAATCGACTCGGCCAGCTGCAGGCGCTGCGCCTTGGGCATGGACGACGGCAGGCGCAGCATGGCGGCTGTCTGCAGCGTCTCCCAGACGGTGAGCGTGGAGAACATGAGGTCGTCCTGCATCACATATGCGGATATGCGCCTGAAGCTCTCGTCCCGTGGCCGCCCGTTCACCAGCACCTGCCCCGCTAGCGATGTGGGGGCTCCAGCGCGCATCACCCGCCCTGCTAGCACGTTCAGCAGACTCGTCTTGCCGGAGCCTGGACGGGCAGGGAAAAAGGTAGACAAGGGGGAAGTATGGGGCAGATGCGGGGCAGACGGTGAGTGTGGAGAACATGAGGTCGTCCTGCATCACATACGCCGAGATCCGCCGGAAGCTCTCGTCCCGCGGACGACCGTTTACCAGCACCTGCCCCGCTAGGGACGTGGAAGCTCCAGCGCGCATCGCCCTCCCTGCCAGGGCAATCAGCAAACTTGTTTTTCCCAGAGCCTGGAGGGTAGGGAAGGGGAAGAACTGAGGCAGATGAGGGGCACTGAAAAAAGCTCTCGTCCCGTGACCGCCCGTTCACCAGCACCTGTCCCGCTAGGGAGGCGGCGGAGCCTGTGCATTCAACAGACTCGTCTACGACTCGTCTACCCGGATCCTGGGAGGGGCACGGGAGGGGGAGACAAGGGCTCTGCCTGAAACTCTCGTCCCGCGCTTTGAGACGTCTCAAAAAGGGGCAGATGAGGGGTACTGCTTGAAGCTCTCTTCCCGTGCACGCCAGTTCACCAGCACCTACCCGGATAGGGAGGTTGGGGCGAACGTTCCAGAAACAGAATGAAAGTTCAACTGCAAACAAGTCTCTGCACTGGAAAAAAAAAAAAAAAAAACCAGAGATACCCATAGTAGCGAGGAAGGGTGCCGGCTTTGACAGGTATCTCTCAGGGTTTAACCACGAACGAAGCGTAAGGCAAGGACTAGTATCCCACCTGAGGGGCCCATGATGGCGAGGAAGGAGCCGGCCTTGACGCATCTCGTGAGGTTGATGGCGAAAAGTTACACGACCCGAACGTAACGTAACGAAAGGGGAAAAGGCCGCACCTGAGGGGCTCATGATGGTGAGAAAGGAGCCAGCCTTAACGTATCCCGTGAGGTTGTCCAGAACGAGAGCGAGAGATCAACTGCGAACAGGGCTGTGGGCCGAAATATCTAACCTGAGGGGCCCATGATGGCGAGGAAGGAGCCGGCCTTGACGTATCCCGTGAGGTTATCCAGAATGAGCTTGTTTGTCTTCGCCTTGCCTCGCCCCAGCGTGACTGTGTACGTCACGTTCTTGAAAGCCAACGACACGGGATGGAAGCGAGTTCCTGGCGCTGCCGCCGCCACCTGGATGACAGGAAAGAGAGGGACAGAGAGAGAGAGAGAGAGAGAGAGAATGGGAAGTGATGAGCGTCGCGGGGAAGACTTTAATGATGTACATCACGCGTTTCAAACGCTGGACACACAAGGTGGAACACGCGTTCGGGGCATTAAGGCCACGGCGTCAATAAGCTTAGACAAGAAGAAGATGAACAGAAAGAAATAACACAAAACAAAAAGCCTCCGTCGTTGCTTCATCCAAAAACTACAGGGACAGAAAGGCTGTGTGATATATACTTGAAAAAAAGAAAACAACCAAAAAACAAGCGACACATGAGTTGCTATGTGAGAAGCAACGCGACTTTATTCAACGGAGAGAGTGTGAAGGCTCCGTGAGCGTCACCTCAAACATGGACTGCGTTCGCTTATACTCGTTTCCTTCGGACGGAATGGTGACTCTCTCTTCCGCGTTCAACGGCTCGCCTTGCTCCACGTCGATCGGCGCGCCCTCGCTGCTGCTGTTAGGCACCTCCCCCATGCCGCCTAAGCCCATTGTTCCTTCTACTTGTAATAGGTTAGAAGAACGATTGTCGGGGAGAAATATGTGAGCCAAGCGTAACGAGTGGTGAAACGAGCGGTCTCACCAACTTAGTCACTATTTTGAGGTGACACCGGCTTTCACGCACCGAAACCGCTACGGCGATGCCGTCGAAACTACGCAAATGCTTGGTGCTGACACTCTCTCAAAACAAACACTTGCAAGAAAAAGTAATATTGACAGCACAAAACCAGTCAGAGCGACGAGAAGCTAACGGTGAAACCCAGAACAACTCAGGAGACGACCAGCAGCACGAACAACACTATCACTACTGGTCACCACAGGAAGCCGCGACAATTTCTAGGGCAGCAATGCCAGACACAGATGCTAGCGAGCGTTGAAGGTGTGTCATCAGAGCCAAGTATCGTGCGACACCCTAGTCAACCATTTTTCGTACCGCAGTAACCTTTCTCAACCGCAAATGGGTTGACCTTTCGACCAACTGTAGTCCCGTTCCGTGGTGACAGTCCCTGTTTTACTGTATAGACGGAATGGCTCAAGTTACCAGTCTAAAGCCTTCGCAAGAAGGAAAAGCTGCTTATGCGATCTCCAAGAGGTAATGGCGAATTTCAGCGAGCAACGACAGCCGCCAGAAGGATAAGGTCCACAAGGCTTCATGACGTCAGATACGTGGGTGAGAGGCATGCGATGCGAGCGATGAGATGCAACACCAGAAAGCGCGCGGAAATGCAGAGCGCAGCCCAGCCTACGTCACCACTGGAAAACAGAAGCAGCTAGAATATAGTTTGTAGTTCTAAAAGAATTGGGTGTTAAAACACTTGAGCAGCAACACACTCATCAAATATACCAAGAACCAACCCACGCATTTAATTCACACACCCAACCCGATAGTGTGAAAAAATCTACTACTCAAATGGCACAAACAAAATTACGGAAGCCAAAGCAGAGGAAGCAGGAATACAGGAATGGGGCAAGGCACCGAAGGGGGGGTCAAGCATCAGACACACAACTGAAGAGGGAACAGGGAAGATGCAGAAAATGAGAGGTGGCCTTGTATGGAAGGGGACGAAAACGAAGCTGCAGCTTGTATCCTGAAAAGTGGCACTGCAAAAAGAGAAGCAAACAAGCGCAGCAGCCTGGCGTGCCCATGCCTGCCCTCCTGCCTTCAGTACTTCATCTTTACGCCTTCAGCTGTGTTGACAAAAACCATCAGTTTGTTACTCAATCTGTATAACGAAACTGCACTCAAGCAGGGTACGCTACTACCGAGGTACGCAAATGCTGGAGAAGGGGAGAAACACAAGCAAGCGAGCAATGGGCAGAAATGGAGAAACACATGAAAAGAAACACAGGAGACGAGAGGAAGAAAACACAGGCAGCACACAGAAAGGGGGGAAAAATAGGGGAAGGGGGAGAAACACAAATGCAGGAGAAAAGGCAGGTTGTCAGCAACCAAAGTGGTATTGATCAAACGCCCTCCTGCGACCCCGACTTGGTTTGCAATCTCGGTTTATAACAAGTCCAGGTGGAAAGGGTCTGCGGGAAAGGGTGGCAGCAAATCCAGGAGGCAACAAATCCAGGTGTCAGAAATCTACTGTAAGCGAGTATTGAATTCCCAGCTTCACGACAAGCTTCTGGAGTGGCTTGAAATCCAGAAGGAAGGAATCAGTTGATATTCCCATCTCTGGAAAACCTCACAGAAGCATTTTGAGGCAACTCAAACCTCACTTACTCTCCAGCTGCTCACCGTGTTCCTGCTTACAGGAGTGAAGGAAGGAAATTTAGCCATTATTATATGCTCCGCATTTAATTCTTAAGCCGCTCCAAAACACATGCGCCGTGCATTAGCGGAACCTCTCCTTGATGGGAAGCTACCCTCGATTTGCCGAGGGTTCGGGCACATTGGGTTGGGTCTACAAATAGGCCTTTGACTTGCTGCTTGATGGCTTGCTGCTTGATGGCTTGCTGGTTGCAGGACCTTTCCAAGCATTGTGTGGTGAAGTAAACATCTGGTTTCCATACCTGTATTGTGTGGCTTCTGTTCTCTCGCAGGCCTTGGGCCAACCTTGGAGGGGCAGTACCTACATACCTTGCTTGCCATTAGGACAAGTTACCTGTTGGCGTAGGACGAGTCACCTGCGGATCCAGGTCGAAACTTTATACATATGCTTGGGCCAACCTTGGAGGGGCAGTACCTACATACCTTGCTTGCTCGCTTGCAGCACTATCACTCTTCCTCCTCCTCCCCGCAGTCCACCAGAGTCATGCCTCCAGGGCCGCCTGCCGAACCTGCAGATCTTGTTTGCTTGGTGCTTCTCTCGCATGCCTTTTGGCCAACCTTGGGGGAGCAGAACCTACCTTGCTAGCTTGCTTGATGGACAATCAATCTTCCTCCTCCCCATAGTCCACCAGAGTCATGCCTCCCGAGCCACCTGCCGAGCCTGCAGTCACCGAACCTGGAGTCATGTTAGCCGAACCTGCGCCTGTGGCAAGGGAGGATGCTTAAGGGCCAAAATGAGAAGTTGACGATAGTAGAGAGGGATAAATACCATTGAAGATAAGGACACCATACTTGCATATTATGTATATACACACATATACTCATATTCCTAGCGCTAGGAGATCGGACAAACTTTCTGCTTACCGTTTTGCCCATTTGCCTGGCCTCCACCTCCTCCGCCGAGCCTGGTCGGCAGCTTCGGGGGCGGCGGGCCCATGATCGACCGAGCCTGCGGTGGAGGCATGGAAGACGACTGGTACTGCTGCTGCTGCTGCTGCTGTTGGTGATGTTGCTGCTGTTGCTGCTGTTGCTGCTGATGCTGCTGTTGCTGTTGCTGTTGCTGCTGCTGCGGCTGGTAAGTGATATAACTACCCCCATACGAGCCATAGGAAGACTGGTGGGCACCTGTACCGTTCCCTGCACCACCACCACCCCCACCAGACGAACCACCACCACCACTCCCACCAGCACCACCACCAGCAGTATTACCAGCAGCAGCAGCACCACCCCCTCCTCCCCCTCCCACGTCAGTCACTTCCCGGAACTTTCTCCCCTTGCCCGATGTGCTCCTGCCCGCCCCTCCCCCTCCCCCCATGCCCACCTGCGAATACAACCCCCCATACGCCGCATACCCTGGGCCACTCACGCCTCCCCCTCCACCCCCGTCCTTCTCCCCCCCTCCCCCTCCACCACCCCCTCCCCCACCCCCTCCGCCTCCTCCCCCTCCGGCTCCACCCCCTGCGCCCCCTGACTGCTGCTGCTGCTGCCACTCGTCCCGGATGGTGTCTATGAGGCTCTCTGCCAGCTTCTTTGCTTCGGCCATCTGTGCTGCTGATGCACCTTCAGAGGCAGTCAGGGAGACGTGCAGGGGCGCGTTTAGCTCTGCACACGAGGGGTGGAAGGGGAGGAAAAGGGCGGGGAGGGGGGGGGGAAGAACAGGCGGGATAGGGGTGTGAGGGGAGGAGGAGGAGGGAGGGGAGAGGGTGCAATAATAAAAAAATTGCCTGACTGCTGCTGCTGCCACTCCTCCTGGATGGTGTCTGTAAGGCTCTCTGCCAGCTTCTTTACCTCAGCCATCTGTGCTGCCAATGCACCTTCAGTGGTCATGAGCGGTGAAAGGTGGGCAATGAGGGAGATGGGAGGGGTGTGAAAAGGAGAATAGGAAATGGTGAGGGTGGGTGAGAGAACTCTGCAAGGTTTCCTCGCCTCTCCTCATCTTCGCCTCTCCCCTCACATCCACCGTTATTCTCACCTTCGCCGGTTTTGAGAATCCAAAAAAACCAGCTAATCTCACCTGGCCTTGCCTTCGCATCTCCTCATCTTCGCCTCTCCCCTCACATCCACCGTTATTCTCACCTTCGCCGGTTTTTGAGAATCCAAAAAAACCAGCTAATCTCACCTGGCCTTGCCTTCGCATCTCCTCATCTTCGCATCTCCTCATCTTCGCCCTCGCCTCAAAAAGACATTTGCACATTCGCCGTTGATTGATCTCATGGTTGTTAAAACCTCGTCCATGCAGCGTCGCCTTGAAGCCCGTGAAATGCCCGTGAATGCACAAATGTCTTTTTGAGGCACCTCAAAAGTCCCTCCCCACCTTCGCCCGCCCTCCCCTCACTTTTCGCATTGACGTCACCCCGTCCTCCCCTCACCTTCGCCGTTGATCTCGTGGTTGCTGGAGCATCGTCCATGCAACATCGCCTTGATACCCGCGGAGCACAAATGTCACATCCTCCTCCCAACCAAGCTTCGACCTCCCCTCACCTGCAGCGTTAATCTCACTCCGTCCTCTCCTCACCTTCACCCACCTCTCACCTTCACAGCTGGTCTCACCTTCACAGCTGCTCTCACCTTCACAGCTGGCCTCACCTTCACAGCTGCTCTCACCTTCGCCGTTGATCTCGTGGTTGTTGGAGCATCGTCCATGCAACGTCGCCTTGATACCCGTGGACGTCTGAATATGCTCCAAATACGAGTCCTGCGCGTGAGTGGAAGGGAGGGGGAGCAGGGGGGAGGGAGGAGGAACGGGGGGAGGTGGGAAGGGGAGACAGAGGGAGAGAGAGAGAGAGAGAGAGAGAGAGAGAGAGAGAGAGAGAGAGAGAGAGAGAGAGAGAATGAGAAGCATTGGGTCGTGCAATGCGCCCAGAAGCGTCAAACTCGCGGGTCGGTTCAAACCCAGCAAGTAAAGTACAAGCACGGTGTCTTGGGGTTGACCCCTGGGAGAATTGACCCCACACAAATCCTAACCCAACCAGCCAGCCCCAGAACCACCTCCCCTCGCTCTTCCCGTTCAATATTCAACCCACATTGAACCCTGACTCTTCCCCTTTCCCTCCCATGCTTCACTCACATTGGGTCCTCTGATTCGCCCAGAGGCATCGAACTCCCGGGTCGGCTCAAACCCCGCAAACACCAGCACGATGTTGCTGCCCGGAGGGATAGACCCAGCAGAAGCGCCCTTCCTCAACCATTTACCCAAGAGCAACCAACCAACCAACCAACCCCAGAACCATCCCCTTCGCTCTTCCCGTACAATAGTCAACTCACATTGGGTCCTCTGATGCGGCCCGAAGCGTCAAACCAGTTACCCACCAGCCCCAGAACCAACCCCCTCGCTATTCCTGTTCCTTAGTTAACTCACATTGGGTCCTCTGATGCACCTCGAAGCGTTGAACTCCCGGGTCGGCTCAAACCCCGCAAACACCAGCACGATGTTGCTTCCGGGGGGGATAGACCCAGCAGAAGCGCCCTTCCCCAACCAACCAGTTACCAGCCCCAGACAACCCCCCTCGCTCTTCCTGTTCATCCAACAACGAACTCACATTTGGTCCTCTGATCCGACCAGACGCATCGAACTCGCGCGTTGGCTCGAATCCCGCAAACACCAGTACGATGTTGCTGCCCGGAGGGATAGACCCTGCAGAAGCGGACGGGGCGCCATACCCTTCCCCATACGCCCCAGGCGGGGGCGCCCCATAGGCGCCACCCGGGGGAGGTGCATATGGGGACGGGGCGGCAGCAGGGTAACCAGCAGGGGGGTAAGCAGGCGGCGGGTATTGGCCCGGAGGGTACTGCCCGGGCGCCTGCGGGGGGTATTCACCAGGTGCACCCTGCGGGGGAGGGCCATACCCAGGGGCACCCTGAGGGGGATACGGACCAGGAGCGCCAGCAGGAGGGGGGTAGCCTGGGTAACCGTGGGGAGGAGGCGGGCCGTATGCAGGGTCATATGTCCCTGGGGGAGGGGCGGGATATCCCCCGGGGGGGGGAGCACCATAAGGGGGAGGCTGACCCTGAGGAGGGTAGGACCCAGGCGGGTAGGGACCAGGCGGGTAGGACCCGGGGGGGTAGGAACCAGGCGGGTAGGATCCGGGGGGAGGTGCGTACTGGGGAGGGGCGCCATACCCTTCCCTGTCCCTCTCCCTGTCTCTGTCCCTGTCCCTGTCTTGATCGCGGTCCCTATCCCTGTCTCTTCCTCGGTCCCGCTCCCGATCCCTGTCCCTGTCCCTCCCATACCGGTCCCGATCTCTGTCCCTCTCTCTGTCTCTGTCCCTGCCCCTGTCGCTGCGCCCATACGGATCGTATCTGTCCCTTTCCCGCCCCCTGCCCGCCTCAAGCTCCCTCTCATGCCGCCCGCCCCGCCCCGCCCTGCCGCTGTCGCGGGACGATCTCGACCGCTCGCCGCCCCACGGCGGACGGCCAGGATCGGCCCGATCGGGCGCCTGGGCCCTGGGCTGCTCTCCTGGCCGTAGATTCATGATGTCGTCGATCATACGGACGGCCGCGTCCACCATCCGCTGCTTTTCCTCCGGCGTCTTGGCCTGCACACGTGGAAAGGGGGGGAGAGGGAGCAACGGGGAGATGGGGGAGGGGGGAGATGCGATGGGGGAAGGAATAGAGCAGCGTCCTCCATCCGCTGCTTCTCCTCCGGCGTCTTGGCCTGCAGACAGGCATGACAGGGGGAAGGGGGGGAAAGGAAGGGGAAAGAGGGAAGGAGGAGAGGGGAGGATGGGAAATGGGGGAAGAGGGGAGTGCGGGAAGGGAGAGAGAGAAAATAAAGGGAAAAAGTGAGACGCAAATTCACAGAGAGGCACAAGGCAGGAAAACGACTTTGATGCGTCTCAAAGAAAAATCGCAGACAGGTAGATGCTTGCTACAAGGAAAGGAGACGGGAGGAGCCAGGGGGAAGCACAGCTTTACCTCGGTGGATGGGGACACGTGCAGATACAATGGACGGTCGCGATTCTTCGGATCGTTCATGTTGCAGAACTTGCCCCTGGGGTGAGGCGGAGATGGGAGAAGGGTACATGACAGAATGAGGCATGCGAGAACAACAGGGCACATGAACAACAGGGCACATGCACAACAGGGCACATGAACAACAGGGGAAGCTGAGCCTGAGCGCAACGCAACAAGAGCTGATGATTGTTGTGGTCAGTGCTGGTGACATGTGAGTGGTGATGATGTATGTAGGATGCATACACCAAACAAGTGAATCATGCATGGGACAGAAAGAACTACGTCTGAATACGGTTCACTTTGCAAAACCGGCATATCACATCACAAAACGCGGTACAAAACGAGTCGCAAGATGCAGCTCAAAGCGAAAACGGATACGAGTTGGTGAAGTGGGAAAATCGGAGCCAGTTAAGCAACGTGCGTACCTGGTGGAAATCACCGCGCCTGTCTTGCGGTGAATCTGCAGTGACTCGACACAGGATGGAAAGGAGTGGTAGTATGGGATAGGAAGGGGTGGCACGGGATGGGACGGGGTGGCATGGGATGGGATGGAAAGGGGTAACACGGGATGAGAAAGGGTGGTACGGGATGGCACGCAGACACAAGGAAAGCAATGAAGAAACACATCATCTGAGACTCGAGACACACGTTACTGAGATAACACACATGCCTACTTCCATCGCCTGATCCCTCCCGCTCGCTTAGGGTTGCGAGTGCAGATAGCATAAATTAGGGTTTTGCGGTGGGTGTCAAAGAAAGAAGCAGACCGTGCGCGTGTGGCAAACCATGGGCCAAGTCGTGCTGAGTGTGACATCAAAACCCGACGATGCAAGATATGGTTAAACTCGTGGATCACCATTGACCTTGGAGTCTATTCACAGATCGTCCCCGCGGCGATTATACAGGCAACGAGCGTAAGCCTCCAAAAATTCTCACACTTTCGAGTCCACTCACATCGTCTTGAGTGCCGCGGCGCGTGAGCTGGTAACGCACGTTAGGGTTACACTCGTTAATCACCACCTCCTTAACAATCTCCTCTGGCGGCGGTTTTCCTGGCGGCCCTGCCGCCGCCGTTTCCGGCTTCCGCTGCACGCCTATCCCGCGCTTCGCTAACTCTTCGTTCACTTGCCGAGCCATCATCTCAGCCCTGGCCTTAGCGTCGTCCAGGTTCGGCATCGCCGGACCTGGAGCTGCCGAGCCAGTAAGGCCCGGGACTTGGCCTGGAATCATCCCCGGCATTCCCAAGAGAGAAAGTCCGGTAGGGACGGGTTTTCCCGCGGCTGCTAGCGACGCGGCGACGGCGGCTGCGGCGGCGATTGCGGCGGGGGAGGTTCCGGAGGGGATGGTGGAGAGCGCTGCGGCTGCTGCCGCCGCTGGATCTGCCGCTTGATCCCATTTGCTCCGCTTTCTGGGAGGTTAATAGAAAACAAAAATCGAAGACGAGAAGCAAGTAAGGGGAAAAATAAAGTTTGGATTCAGGAGAGTAGTCGAGAAAAAAAAAACAATGAAGAACGAAGATGAGAGTTCGAGAAGCATATTTGGTTCATAGGGACTTATCCCTCGTTGAAGAAACTGTAAGCGCAGATGGCAGGGTAAGAACGGAAAGATGCGAAGACGAGACAACCGAGAGGAAAAAAGACACGGAAAACCCCCAAAGGGACGATGTACGCACTTATCAGCGGAAGAGTCCGCCATGGTGTGAGAATAGATTCAATGTAGGAAACTGGACACAATGATGTACGCAAAGAAAATCGCGATTTTATCAGAGGCAGGAGGCAGGAGGAGGTTGGCCGCGATTTAAAGTGAGTCGTAAATCGCAGTTGTGTCCACTATTCAGCAGTGAGAGAGACATGGTTTATAAGAAGCATGGTTTAGCTCACCTGAAGTTGATGACATTTAAATCGACTTAGCGTACGTTGGAAACCAGACATGGATACACGAATTCATACTCGGTACAAGGCTGAAGACCACGTCTGCCTAACTTCAAGCAGATACAAGTTCGATTGCCACGCGGGAAACGGCTTTGGGAGGTGGCACGGGCGGAGACACAAGCTTGCGGGGGAAGCTTCCCCCCTGCAATTCGATGCGAATCCATTCCATCTGTCGTTTACCTGTTGTCGTGTAGCCCGAACAACGGTCTGCTGCATGCCCGCTTGCTTGCGGTCAGCTCCCCACCTCTCCCCTCCCCTCCCTCTCCTTCAGAACCAGCCCCACCCCAAGATCCTCGACTCGCTTCCTCACTCCTCACCCCACCCGTCTGGTCCGTGCTGGTCCCTTGGAGTACGGAATGAATCTTTAGCTCTAGTGGTTAACGTTCATGAATGCAGTATCAGGAGGAGGAGGAGCAACGAGCTGACGACGGCTGAGTTCGATTTTCAACCCAGTGCCGCTGCTGCTGCTGCCTCCCTTGGCGTCGCAAGCGCCGCAATGCTCTTGCGATCAAATCACAACTTCAAGTTTGCCAGACTCGGCGTTATTCGCGAGCCGTCACTTGCGATCGACTGCGATAGATTCCCCTCGTTGCACTTTCTGACTCGACTGGTAACATATATCGCGTAGTGCTCGCTGACAGACTACTCGCTATGGTTGCGCGAAACCAGGGGCGTGCGGGCGCCGCAGGCTCCGCGGGTAACGCGGGGAACAATCAGCAGCAGATAAGATCTTCTCAGGAGATTCCTCCTAGCATCTTACGCTCCATGATGACGTCAGCGGCGGGGCTCGTCCCCCCGCCGCCGCATTCGCCGGTTCCTGCTAACGCCACGCCCGCCTTAGATCTGGCCAGCGCTAGTAACATCTTCGCGCTCCTTAACCCGGATCTAGCGGCGGCGCGGCTCGGGGGAATGGTGCAAGCTGGTAACGGCGGTCGCGGCGGTACTGTCGGCGGCATTAGCGGCGGCGTTAGCGGCGGTATCCGCGGTAGCGGCGGTAGCGGGCCGGGGCAGATTCTGGGCTCAGCAGGTGGTTCGCTTCCGGTGCCGGCGGCGGCAAGAGCAGCGCCGCATTCGGCGCCGTCAGTTCCGCCGCCGCGCCCGCCCGCGGCGGTATGGCCGGCGGCTCAGCAGATAGGGGGACATCTGACGGCTAGCTGGGGAAACATGGGGCCTGAGACGGCCAATGCACTCGTTACAAGCAATCGCGGTTCCGTTATAAGCATACCTGGTAGTAGCAACGGGGACAGGTCTATGGGTAGCAGCGATACTCAATGTGGCACATGGGCCCTGGGCCAGGTAGGTCTTTCCGCTGGAAACAATGATAGGACTTTCCAGTTAATTCAGCCAGCTGCACAGGCGTTACTCGGTCAGGTGAATCCTCAGGTGAATAATCAGGTGGCTCCTCCGCGGCCTATTGCGGAGTTGCTTCTGGGCCAGTATCTTATGGCTCAGCAGCTGCAGCGGCAGCAGCAGCAGCAGCAGCAGCAGCAGCAGCAGCAGCAGCAGCAGCAGCAGCAGCAGCAGCAGCAGCAGCAGCAGCAGCAGCAGCAGCAGCAGCAGCAGCAGCAGCAGCAGCAGCAGCAGCAGCAGCAGCAGCAACATCAACAGCAACAACAGCAGCAACAGCAGCAGCAGCAGCAGCATCAGCAACAGCAGCAGCAACAGCAGCAGCAGCAGTGGCAATTAGGCAGTACATTGGATTCGCTCTGCCTACCTTTCCCAGGCACCAGCACAACAGCAGCAGCGAATCTGACCAATTTTGCCGCCCGCGCTGTTTACAGAACCCCTTCCGGCACGAGCAGCGGCACTAGAGGCGGCAATGCGGTGCAAATGAGCGGCAGTGCGGTGCAAATGAGCATAGGTAACACGTCCCTCTCGTTACAGTCACAACCCAGCCCCATGTCCGGCAACAACATGTCTCTCTCGTTACAGTCACAGCCCAGCCCCATGTCGGTGGCAGCAACGTTTGACGCGCCTCAGCGCTCGCTACAGTCACAACCTAGCCCCATGTCCGTGTCTGCAGCAGACTATCTTGATCTAGCTGCGTGCGCCTCCCTCCCCCAAGCCAGCAGCCCATCCCTCTCGTCCCAGCCACCACTGCAACTCACAGGAGGAGGAGGAGCAGGAGCGGGTGTAGGAGGAGCAGTAGGAACAGGAGGGGGTGGAAGAGGAGCAGGGGGAACAGGAGTAGGTTATGTAGCAGGAGCAGGAGCAGGAGCAGGAGGAACAGGAGTAGGTTATGTAGCAGGAGCAGAAGGTCGGTCTGTGAGCAGGCTTGGCATGGGCATGGGGGCAGGGGCGTCTATGGCCGCTGTTAGATCCGCATCTGCGGAAGGCATGCGTCCACTGAGTATGTATGCTGGGGGAGGAGCAGCCGGGGGAGCGATGCCAGCAGCAGCGTTGCCAGCAGCTGCTATGCAAGTGCCAACAGCAGCAGCGGCAACAGAAGCGGCAGTGGAAGGCATGCGTCCACTGAGTATGTATGCTGGGGGAGGAGCAACCGGGGGAGCGATGCCAGCAGCAGCATTTCCAGCAGCCTTATTGCCAGCAGCTGCTATGCAAGTGCCAACAGCAGCAGTGGGAACAGAAGCGGCAGCGGAAAGCATGCGTTCCTTGGGTGCGTTTGGCGGAGGCGAAACGGCAGTTGGGGCACTAGCAGGAGGAGTCCCATCAGCATCAGCAGCAGCGGCAGCAGAAGCAGCTGTGGCAGCGGAGGTGCAGTCACTAGAGGCTCTAGAGCGGCTTCTGAACCTGGACTCCTCGTCTGTGCCCCATACATCTTCTCTTCATGCCCCTTCTGAGAATCTACAGAATGCTTCTGCGTTTGAGGTACGTGAGAGGTCGAGCCCGCAGAAGCAGGTTTTGGATTTAGACTCGGCTGCTGCACTGCTGGGGCGAGTGGAGCGTCTGAGAGCGCAGCTGGTGGAGAGGAAACGGCTGCTGGAACAGCAATCGATGGTGCAGCAGCAGCAACAGCAGCAGCAGCAGCAGCAACAACAACAACAGCAGTTTCAGCAGCGGCCACAGCAGCAGCAACAGCAACAACAGCAGTTTCAGCAGCAGCAGCACTTTCAGCAGCATCTGCAGCAGGAGCAACAACAGCAACAACATCAGCAGGTGCAGCAACAGCAACAACATCAGCAGGTGCAGCAGCAACAGCAGCAACAACAGCAGCATCAGTTTCAGCAGCAGCAACAGCAACAACGACAACAGCAACAGCAGCGGCAGGAGCAACAGGAGCAGCAGCAGCAGGAGCAGCAGCAACAAGAGCAGCAGCAGCAACAAGAGAAGCAGCAACAAGAGCAGCAGCAACAAGAGCAGCAGCAACAGGAGCAAGGCGAGGTGTTTCTCCAGCAGCTGCAACAACTGCAGCAGAGAGAGCTGCAGGCGCTACTGCTAATGCATCTGCAGAAAGAGATGCTAGAGCAGCAGAAACGTGTGCACGCACAGGGGCAGGGGCAGGGGCAGGGGCAGGGGCAGGGGCAGGGGCAGGGGCAGGGACAAGCACACGGGCAGGGGCAGGGGCAGGGGCAAGGGCTGGGCCAGGGGCAAAGGGTAACGCTACAGCAAGCAGTCCAGCTACAGCCGTCACAGCATCACATGGAGCAGCAGGTTCAGCTACAGCTGTCACAGCAGCAAGTGCAGCTGCAGGCACAGCTACAGCCGTCACAGCAGCAGGTGCAGCTGCAGGCACAGCTACAGGCGTCACAGCAGCAGGTGCAAGCACCGCAGACACTAGCAGATCTGCAGCGATTGCTGTTGGCGGGAGGGTTGAGCACTCCCCTTCAAGCATCCTTGCAGCAACGGCTACAGCTGCAGCCACAGCCACAGTCACAGCCACAGTCACAGCCACAGTCACAGCCACAGTCACAGCCACAGTCACAGCCACAGTTACAACAACAGGTGCAGCCACAGCTACAGAATCAGGTTGTACCAGTGCATGCAGTGAGCAATGCAGGAGGAGGTGAAGGGGGATTGGGATCAGAAGCAAGTGGAGAACCAGGGACAGGAGGAGCTATGGCAGGACTGACACCAGCAACAGCAACAGTTGTTGCAAAGCCAGCATCGGCAGCAGAAGCACTGCCAACAGCGGGTATTTATTACACCGGCGGAAGCCCAGCGTCCACCGGGCAACTCACGCGAGCAGCAGCAGATGCAATGGAGTGGAAGAGCCCAATCCGTAGCACAGTATCCCCAGCAGTAGTGGCATCGCCTCCGAGTTTTGAGGCATCTCAAAACCCGATC